GGAATGACAAATCTTCACAGAGCCCAATGAGGTCTGTTTTACGCACAATGTCTGGTATAATTACATCCCTTGCAAAGTGATGTTTTACTGAAGTAGCTGTGGTGGTGCAGTCCCTAGCACAGATATGCCTGTATCAGCATGAAAACGCCAGCTGCCAGTGTAGCTGACCCTGCTTCTTGTTCAGGACTGACTGTGATGGTTTAAAGCTCCTTTATACTGACAAAACTATGGCTGCATTGCATGGTGTGCATGAACTCCTACACTGAGAAGTTAAATCGCAGCAGCTCTCTTAAGCAGAAGATACAAATCTTCTGTAGCGTAGGAAGATCTCAGAGTAACTTACAGGAGTAGGTTTATCTGAGGAAGGGGAGGCACTGGAGTGGTGGGGTTACCTGCGGGAGATGAGACAAGGATCAGCTGCACAAACCCCTCTCCCACAATCCAAAATCTCAGCGGTACTGAAGCCCGACTTCCCTTGGCTTCCAGCGCCCCTTTGCTCAGCTGGAGAGGTAACCCCAGGCTTTGTGGCACTGGGGATCAGCTCCCCGTCTTCATAGCCACACATTTTCCAGCTGGTAGAGCCTGATGACAATTATAAAAGGTCGACTGTGGTCTGCAAGACTGTTTTATCTGAACCTGGATTAAGGCCTGACTGTATTTTAAGTTTTATACTGAGAACTTCTAGTGACTGAACAGGAATGCAGGACCAGACCTCTAAACCAGGGCTGTACGGCAGCAATCATTCTTTCTGCCTTCCCACTACCGCAAACTTTCCTAAGAAGAAAGGAAGGGGAGTTTTGGGGAGAGAGAAAAGCAGAGGTGAGCTGAAGCTGCAGGGAAACTTCATAGATATAGAGAAACTGCAAAGCAAGTGGGACCAGTTCTGACCACTCACCATTAAAGACAGAGCAAATCATAATAGGACTTCAAGACCATGAGCTCAACACTTGGAAAAATGTAAACTGCTGTAGAATTTTATTTTCGTTTTTGTTTTTGTTTTTGTTTATTTTGGTTTTTATTTTGTTTATTTATTTTGAAAACTTAGCATTTGCTTGTTAGATTATTAAAAGATAATAAAAATAATCATTCTTGCTACAGAGCAAGGAATTTTAAATACATGACAGTGACGAGCCTTTCCAGGTAGAGTTCTATTTTTAGGGCCTTCTCTGTGTTTCTGTTACCAACCCTTACTCTTAAGGACATATGTCTGGAATTAGCTCTAAATTAAATTTCATATATAGATGACTTTACCACAATGGAAAAAAAACAAAACAAAAGTTTTGTGCTCCCTGAGAAACAGAGCATCTTCTTAAAGCCTATCTGTTACCTATACAGAGACAACTGATATACTTAACACTTCTTCATCTTTCAGAATGTCGTTTCAAGACCCTTACTGTGCCAAAGGTTTGGTATCCAGTGCAACTGAACAAAGAAATGTAGAAAGCTCTGTGCACCTTCCTGCTCCCCTACTGCTCTTCCTAGGGTTGGTCATCTCAAAAGCTCTTCTAAAGCGACTGGCTGGAGCAGTCCAGTATGGATGTCTCTATCAAAAAATGGTGCTTTTTGGAGCGCTACACACCCTTGTTCTATCCATATCCCATGTATCTGTGTCCCACCTGGGGACAGCAGATGGTCTGGAGCTAGGCCTTATGCCATGTAACATTTCCCCAGTCATCAGTGTATTCCTTCTTGGGACTAACTTTCTGGGTAGTTGGGATGGTGAAAAGCGACTGAAACAGGAGTTATTACCTACCATCATTTTAGTGTAGACATATTTGTAACCAAAGCATACAAACCTAGCAATATCATTTTCAAACAAATGCCTGGAAATACCTGTATGAGGAACATAGCTCTGAGATGTAGAGGAGAGCTGAAAATCAATTTGAGCAAGAATTAAAAATATGCAATATATATGTGTGTTGGTGTAAGTGCTCTTGTGTTGTTTTAGTGAGTCTGGAAAAAGCAACATGAATCGGTTCAGTTCAACACATTTCACATAAATTCCGGATAATAGCCAAGAACCTAGAGCAAACACTAGACCTCTTTTATGGAAATATCAGCACTTCCTGTGTCAAGAAAAAGCATAGTGGATTAGAATGCCAGTCTAGGTGCTCTTTGAAGGAAAATATGTTTCAAAATGGAAAAGGATGGACTGCAGAAAACTGAGATGAGATTTATCTTTCCTTACTTTCCTCATGTGAAATGGATAATCCACATATTCAGTAGAAACTGATTTTCTGGAAATTTTTTTTGAAATGATATATTTGAATCTAGGAATTTATTAATTAACTCCATCAAACTCCAATAATTTCAGTAAAACTGTCAGAAATGATACCTAAGGAATCAAAAATTCTAAACATTTATAAGCTGTTTCCAAAATATATAATGTCTAGTCTCCTGGCGACTATTCTTGCACAACTCCTAACCACATCTGACCTATCTTTACTGGGTATAAGGAACAAATAAACACAGGCAGTTGTACTCCATCTGTTGCATATGGCCACTTCTTCCTTTGCACAATCATGAGGGAAAGTTATTTTTAACGACAATGTTTAGTCGCTTTCTGAAAATATTTCTCTCGACTGTGCAGAGGGACTATATCAAAACACTATTAAGTGAATACAGATGCACATGGATTTTGCTGGAGAAACTGGTATGTCACATATGAGGAAAGGCAGAAGAAGGGGTTTCTTTTACATAGAAAGGGGCTGCAATATTGAAATAAACCAAGGGGAGCTCAACTAGATCATATATTTGACTGTGAAACATGCAGCCCTGAGGGCAGAAATAGCTTGGAACCCTTGATCCAGGCAAGGTGATGCTGACTGGTATTGTCTCTCTTTAATTTTGGAATGTTCTTTGTTTTATAGCCTTATTATTCTGAAATCAAGACCAATTACTTGTCAATCATAATGGATCCTGATGAAGTCCCCTTAGATGAACAATGTGAACGTCTGCCTTATGATGCCAGCAAGTGGGAGATTGCAAGGGAAAGGCTTAAACTAGGTAATATTAGCATACGTCGCATTGGGTTTGCAACTATTGAATGAAATGTATTTGTGTCTACAGGTAAAGAGGAAATGGAGATATTTTAGACATGCAGCACAATGTTCTGCTGGGTTAGGTGTGAGCTATTCAGTGAAAAGTGTTCTTTTCCCATGATTGAATTATAGCGTATAGAACTGACTGGCTAACTGCATCTATCTCACTTTCTGTGTATTCAGACTCCAGACAGGAAGACTAAAACACAGCCAATAACACTGCTCTGTATTTTTTTTGCAAACTGAGTTGCTTAAAGTAGACAATAAAAACAAGGCAACTGAAGAGGTTCAGATCAGCCCTCTGGCCTGGCTGCTTCTCTCTCTAGATTCAGAAGCCTGACCTTTGGCACTGACTATAAATTTCTTCCCTTGTAACCTAATTATGTACTCATTTGGAAAAAGACCTGTGCAGAAATGGGTCCTCACAGATCTTCCTGTACTCCTCCTACTTTCTTCCTTTCCTCTTCTCTCCAACCCACTCTCTCTGTTTTTCCCCTGTGCTACAGATTTATAATCATTCTTACTGATAAAGTGCAAGAATGTCGTACACAAGTCCATGCATAAATAAAGATCCATGGAAACTTTCAACCTGCAGGTAGCTTGCATACAGACACTCGAGAGAAGGGCATGGGTTTGGAAGCCTTCTTGACTTGCTTAGCCTACTGCGGTGCTGACTGGGAGGACAGGAGAGTAAGAACCAGATTTGGGAGTTGAGCGATCTCTCCAGAAACCACACAGATTTTAACAAGAGGTCAACATTAAAATATCAGTGATAAACTCAGCCTGTTGCAATAGTGCTGTTTGTTCTTTCAGGCATGCATTAGATTAGCTGCACAGCCAGGGCTAGAAAATCCCTGCTTTTTAGCTAGGGGCTGTAACAGATTCCTCCTGTCCTCCAGGGTTCAGGGACAGAGGAAGATCAGAACGTGTGCACAATTGGGATCACATTTAATTTGTCCAGCAGAAGTCATAAAGTGATCAGAGGTGGATAAAGACAGCTGATGTATATTGCTAGTGACTTACAATTGTCCCACAGAATTTTGGGAATGCTGAAGCATAACCTTGTGCTGGAGTATCTTCTTGAAATAGTTTTCTCACCGTGACGGACCAAGAGCTCCATGTGCAGACAAAGTGATCTCTGCTTTATGTGGTGCTCTATTTGTGTGTAAATCAGAAAAAATTCACAGAAAGAATCAAGCAGAAGCAGAATGTAAACACCAAGGAAAATCTGCGTCTTGCAGGGTTAGTGTTTGGAGTCTGGAGGTGAGGAATGATGACCAGAGAACGAGTTAAATGTGGAAGAACTGGTGTAAACAAATAAAGAATGCTGACAATGAATGAAAACCAGATTCTGAGAAGCTGGGTATGTGCAGTATGCTAGATTAGCTCAGTGCAAGTCCTGCTTACATGGCAGTTGGCTCAGTCTTTGAATAACCTTGGCAGTCTCCTAGGATTAGTGTCTCACAAACACAAAATATGCTTCTATGTATTTTTTTAACATATTTTTACTCAGAAATGCAAATCCTTCCAGCATCAGATAGATCTGTTTTTCTTTTTCCAACTACTTATCCTCAAGGATACATATTTACTGTAACCTTTGTAAAGTAACTCTCTCCTTTTAGCCTCTGCCTCCTCTCTTCCTCATGCACACACACATACAGCCCATTGATGTGATGCAATGCTTATATAACAGGATTCCCCCTTCATCCGTAAGAGCTACAGACATCACAGAAAATTTCGTATGGGCAGCATTGAAACTAGGATAATTATTGTTCAGTTTAGATTAGTGTGAGCAAGATCAAAATGCCATATTTTCCTTAGAAAGAAAAATTCTGGAGGTATAAATCATATCTGTGTGGTTGGTTATAACCCAACAGTCCAGCAGAACTTTTTGTCTATTATGTATTTCTCACCTTCCTCTTGAGTTTGACTCTTCTAACTTATGAGAGCTCATACACCACTAAAACTGTGGCACATATTGCCGCATGGCTCTGATAACGAATACGGAGGTGGTAAACAGGTTCCTGAGCTCTGCTCCCTTCTAGTGCTCTGCGAACCCATAGTTTGTGACACAAAGCAGAATGTTTTCCTTTGTTCTTAATGTACAGAGCTTTCATATTTAACCTAACGGAAAATATGAAGCCTCTAGTTTGGGGAAACACAGATGACTCAAACTGTGTCACAGGACCTGAGCAACAAAAGTACATTTTGAGCCCCCGCCTTCCTACATACAGGGAGAAAGATATCTGCAGATCCTTTTTTTCTAATGCTCCAATCCAGCAACGTATGTGCTTCAATACAGGCCTATATTTAAGAATCCTTTTAAAACTGAGCTGAAGTGGAAACCTCCTGATTCAAAACTCCTCGACCAAGTGATCTGTTCACTTTAATGGGTGTGAACTGTCCCAAGAAACTGAAGTCAAGTGCAGGAAGTTTAAATAGTGTGTTCTGCTTCCTGGGTCTGGATGTAAGTGCTGCAACATTTCATAACTGGGAGCCACTCCAAATGCGGCTGTTGTAGCTGCTTAAGATTTGTGACGAGGTGACTGCTCAGAGGGTTGGACATCTTGATTTTCCTCTGTTTAATTGCGCTGTTAACTAATTTTGTAATTACTTTGTGTGTCAGCATAAGAGGCTTTTGCAGGGGCAATGTGTTAGAGTTGGGTTTGATTTACAATCTGCATATTAACTGTGGAGCTCCATCTATGTGCTGAAAATCTGGAGTGGTCCTGTTCTGCACTAACATTTAGTATGGTCCAAAACAATAGTGGAGCAACAAAGAGTAATACATCAAGTGTTATTACAGTTTCCCATTAAATCATAATCGTTGTTTAGAGAAGGAAGTGTTGTTTCCAGTGCTCATTCTCATTTATGAAATGTTAGCAGCTTTGCGCAGCTTTATGAGCTAACTGGTATGTTTTCCAAGTAGTGACTAAGTAAGCTATCTTGATGTGGGAAGTGAGTTAACACTGATGGAAACACATTAAAGCTATGGATTAAACAAAGATATAGTGGGTGTTACATTACCTCAAACTGTAACTTCACCTTACACAAACCACAAACTGCCAGTCCATTAAGAACTGTAAACATCAATTCACTAAGAAACTTGAGACCTTGCTCTTAATACTGCTTCTCTTATATACCCACTAAATGAATAAGGTATATGCAATAACTGAAAGAGGAGGTGACTGTAGACCTTTAAAGGTGTACACTGATCCACTTGTGTTTGTGTCAAACTCTTAAGCCCTTTGGGTCCCAATGCTCAAGTCTGTTGATGTTTTTCAGCCATGCAGATTAAGTTCTTCATGGCTTTTATTTGCTGTAAAGATGCAACACTTTCACACATCTGGGGGGAAAATAAATTTCTGGGGCTTTTTTGGCTTTGCATATTCCATTTCAGGTTTCGATTGCTTTGATGACATATGCTGTTTGCCTTCTAACAGCAGACAGACTGAGAATTACAGTTTAGAAATATGATTAATATACAAAAGGTAGTATCTATTTAATTTAGTTTAGAATTGATAGCAGTTCTTTCTCCCTGCTTCTGAGTGTCTGGGTGGGATTCATATCTCACTTTGCTTTAGACATCTACAACACAGATGTCCAAGTCAGAGCTAGTCAGACAGACACCTTTGGAAGTGGTTTGGCTGTTCTATTTTAGATGTTTATCATAGGATAGGGAAATTGTCCTATGGTTCTGGCTGTGTCACATGTACATGTCTGAGAAATAGATATGGCCTTAGTGGCATATCTTATTCTTTAGTTTTATATGAAAAGCTGGCCTTTATTTTCTTCTCTTTTTCTCTACACTACAAAGCCTGAGGTTATACTCTTGCTAGCCATGCGGGTGCCTAAGTTCTGCTGAAGGTGAAACACAAATACAAGCAGAAACGAGGTACTTGAATGTAAAATTAATTGCTAGTTAATATGCTGACAGGATCTCCCTGATCAAAACTCCATCAGCCACCTGAGAAGGGAGGAAGTGGCCTGGCCTGTCTGCGTGAGTGCAGCGTCCAAGAAAAAATGATGTTTCCTGCCTCAAACACTAGGAAATCGAGAATGAGGATGTGCAGATCACGAGATTTGCCTAAAGTATCATGACCATTAAAAAAATAATAATAATACTCTTGGGGTCTTACCTGGTTCTGAATATAAAGGAAAAGGACACTCAGTTTTTACTGAGATTCGCCAGGGGATTTTACTGAGGTTCACTGTTTTTTCACGAGGATCTCTAGGTGCTTTTTCTGAGGTCTACTCAGCAGTAGCACAATAAGGATTTCACAGTGCAAGTGTCGGTGTCTGCCATTGGACGTGTGGAAGCATCGTACCCATCGTGAGATAACTTATCCTTCATCATACCAAGTGTCATCTCACTGAATCCCTTCAGACCTCATTTCACAAATCTGAAGGTCTCATTTGCTCAGATTTGCAGCTTCTCACCTTTATCTCCAACCACAAGAGCTTACCAGGGAAGCACATGAGGGGTTTGCTTGTGTATCTCAGGGGTTGCACTGTGAGGCTGCTGCAGTGTCTGTGGAATGAAGATTATTTTAAGGCATCTTCTGGGAGTAGGCAGGATTTCATTTGTAAAATTTATCAAAATCTGTAGCAATCATCTGCAGCTCGGTGTGCGTGGGAATTTAGGCTGTGGCCCCAACATGCTGCAGACATAACTAGCACTGTCACAGCCTGTTGCAGGTGTGGTGTGCTGAGTGAAGACAGGAGTAAATTTTTTGCTGGCAAAGCTAAACTGAAAAAAGAGGGTCAGAAGCCAGTACGCATCCAATGTGAATGGTTGCAATTCTTTAGTGTTATTTTTAGTCATTTCACTTATTCTCTTCAATGACTCTATGTCTTCTGGTTTGTCTGCTTAGTCTTCAATACTATTTAAAAAAAGAACTATATGACCTGGCAGTTTGGGAATATACATTTAGGAATCATTGTAGAGCACAATTTTTAATTCATTATCAATTAAGTCATTTACTGATAAGATTTCTGTCTTAGCAGTGTGTATCTCTCCAATTTATTTTCTTTACAGGAAAGTCACTTGGACATGGAGCTTTTGGAAAGGTGGTACAAGCATCTGCTTTTGGAATTAAGAAATCGCCGACTTGCAGAATAGTTGCTGTGAAAATGCTGAAAGGTATCTTACTGCAAAGCTGCACTGAAAAGAAGATGAACATCAATATAGTGTCCCACTTTTT